CCAGAGAGGGAGAGTACCTGTCGTAGTGTATACCCTTTGGTTGGCTGATGATGCATGGAGGGGATTGTAACCATGGCAATGAAACGATATATGATAGAATGAATGTAAGACTAATGTTCTCCCATGTAAACTATCACATAATTCACAATAAAACATTAAAAAAAAAACATGGAGGAGGTGGCATGTAAATTGAACTCTGAAGAAGGAATAGGATTTATTACTAGTAGAGACGTGAGAAAGGGTGCTTTGAGTAGAGGTTATAGATTTAACAGAGGAATTAAGGTCGGGACATACAGGTCAAATTCAGAGAAGAGTATTTTGCTAGAGCTCAAATGAGAACAGAATAAAGTAAAATTGGGAAGGCAGTTTGTTGACCAATCTTATAGAACATTATGTGTCAGACTAAGTGATTTAAACTTTATTCTGAAAAAACACCTTCAATCCTGGCCTAATACCCTTATCCAATAACTAATTAAGACCTTCTTCAGTAAACTACAGAAAACCCTTGAAGGTTTTTTTTTTTTTTTTTTTTTTTTTATAAAGTTTGATCTAATTTTAGTAGGAAAGCAAAATTGCAGGCCATAAAATGGATTAGGGGCAAGGGATCAGAATGTGAGAAAAGGAGGAAAGAGGTGAGATATCTGTGTACAGGGCTCGTGGGAACTCCAGAGCTATTACCTCCCTCCAATGAGAGTCCCCCTACTGCTCTAGGGAAACAATGTGTCTATCAATCTTCTCACTCAGTGAATTTGAAATATATAGTACCCTCCTCTCTTGGCTTAGTCCTTGGCATTGTCTTTTTTTTTTTTTTAGTGTTTTATTGTGAATTATATGATACTTTACATGGGAGAACATTAGTTTTACATTCATTCTATCGTACATTGTATCATTGCCATGGTTACAATCCCCTCCATGCATCATCAACCAACTAAAGGGTATACCCTGCAAGCCTGCCTCCTACACTATTCCCCCCCACCAGTCTTCAGCACACAGTCACTCTCCCTCTCTGGATCTAAAGCCCCCAGCTGCTCCATCGCTGTCTCTGCCTCCATCTCAGGCATCACTGCTTCTCTGGGTAGGGTCCAGCTCTCGGCTCTTCTCCATTGATGGTCCTAGGGACCTCTGCTCCTAGACTGAAAAGTTAATCACTTCCTTCCTTGCTATAAAATGTCTACCTTTACATTTTCAACACAGTCAGCCCTGATAACAATTATTCACTATTGTATCACAACAGACCCATCTGCATTTCATTTCATCAACTCCGCCTAGGCAGATTGGATGCTACTCACTGGAGATTCTGCCTTCCTACAGGTTCCCGGTCTCTAGGTTCCCTCTTGAAAGCTTGTAAGCCAGTTACTTCTTGCCTTTGTAGCCCTAACCGCCCACCCCCCCAATTTTGGGTAGCCAACCATTGTCTATTTTTATGGCAAACTGTTGTTGCTGTTGTTAAGTGCCAAGAGTTAAATAGAAATTAAAATAATAACATATCCTTATGTAGTTTCACATGCATTATTGCATTTGACCCATATAAGAACCCCATGAAGCAGAATTTATAATCCTTATCATACAGATGAAGAAACTGAAACTCAGACAAGTTAACTGATTATCTCAAAGTCCTATTGATATGAGTAAGTGAATCAGGATGACAACATATATCAGTTTGACTTCAGTGGTGGTGGTTATATGCCGTGGAGTCGGTCCCGACTCATAGTGACCCTGTACAGGGTTTCCAAGGCTATAAATGTTTATGGGAGCAAAATGCCTCATCTTTCTCCCACAGAACAACTGGTAGTTTCGAACTGCTGACCTTGAGGTTTGCAGCCCGATTCATAACCACTACGCTACCAGAGTTCCTTCAGTATCTTATATTTTCTCCACCACCCTATACTATCTGGCAACCAGGTCATAAGCATAGTCACATTGCTGCTGCTGCTTCTTTTTTTAACTTTTTATTATGAATTCAGCAAAAGTAACAAAGCAGATCATCAGTTTTATATTCAATAAATCATATACTTGGTATCATCTTAATGATTGCACCCCCTCAAATGTAACATCACTTATTCCGCTTCCTCCCTGTGTTTTTTATTTCCATTCCTCCTTCTTTCCCATCCTACTGAACTCTATGGGTAAATGCTACCCTTTTGATCTTGAATGGTTTACCATTCTATGATGCGCATACCTCACTAGTATTATTGGCCCTTCTATAGACTTAACTATTGCTTGGCTGAAAATTGGGCTACAAGGTGAGTTCAGTTCCAGACCTGAAGGATGACCAAGAGCCAAAGTCTCAGGGTTCCACCAGTTTCTATCTGATCAGTAAGTTTGGCTTTTTTTATTATTATTATTTTATTTTATAATTTTGAGTTTCGTTCTACATTTCCCCCACTCTATCCATGATCTGATAATGTGATCCTTTTCAGAACAGCTGGTATTGGTAACTGGGCACCATCTAGTTCTTCTGGTCTCAGGGTTGTGGAGACTAATGTTTACATGGTCTACGGACTATGTCTAAGCATCTTTGATTTTCATCACTTTTCTTTCCTCTAGACAAGAAGGGACCAACAATTGTACTTTAGATGGCCACCCATGAGCTTTTTAAGATCCCAGTCGCTACTCACCAAAGTAGGATTTCAAACATTGTCTTTATGCCAACTGACCCTGGTGTCCCTGAGAATATGGTCCTGAGCCTCCAAGCCCAGCAACTTATTCCTTCAAAGTGTTTGGTAATAACTAAGAGGTTTTCATAACTTTGCCTCTGTATGCTCCACCACATTCATGAATATATTTGCAACAAAGGTAAATAGCCATATACAAATATCTTCTGTTAAGCTTTTATATATTTAATTCTTCTTCTATGAATTCGATGACTGGTTATTTTCTGATCATGAACAAACCTCTCCTTGGGTTTGGATCTAAGACCATCAAGGAATGACTGTCCTCCCTACCTTCAATTTCCATGAGAGAAGAAAGCTGAACTGCAACCAAAGAGGAACCCTTTGTAATAATCAACTATGCCCTATTATTTTATTTCAAACATCATTAATTTAAGCAAAGAGTTTGGATTAATAAAATCTGCAGATATGTGGTACTATCCTACTTCTAATTTAACATCTACCTCAATCCCTAAGCACCTATCTCTCTTTCAGTCCCTCTCTAGTATGAGAGTGTCATGTTCAAGGTCCTGAGTATGATCATTTCAGCTGCACAGAGACTTCATTAGAGTTTGTGATCTAGCTACTGGGTCCCTATGAGAATCTGTTTAAGCAACTCTACCCACCATTTTAATCTGTGATCATGGCCAGAGTAAAAGGCAATTTAATCCTTGTTTATACATCAGTGTCTCCCACTAGACTAAAAGCTTCTTGAAAACAGGGGCTATGCCATGTTTGTTTCCATATCCCAGTGTCAGCATAGGGCATGACATGTTTTAGGTTCTTAAAAAAATGGTAAAATAAATAAATAAATGAAAGTTGTGGTTTACATCAGAAACTACCTACCACATTCTACTTAGAGAACAAGCATATGATTATTTTAGGAACCACAGACTCCTCTCTGATTTGCACCCACAAAATCTTGGTTCTGAAAAAAAGAGCTCTATTTTCTTTTTCTTCTGTATTTTTACATTAGCTTGTTTTGTTTTTTGGTTAAATAAGAGTCATTTAGATAGCACATTTCTAATAGGACAGAAACTTCTAGCCAATGCTCATTATATAAATATTTATAAATCACAGAATTATAATATAATCCTGGATCCCTAAACTAAAAGAGCTTTAATGGAAAGGGGTCCTTCCTTTTGAGGCCTCCTGTACAGAGGTTAGGAGGCTACTCATGATGATGGAAGATCATGAACTTAACCTGGTTTCATATGTCTTTTGTGTGGACCTTTCATGTGACTTCTTTGTATTTCTCTTTAGTGGTGGTATTCATACTCATGTGTATAATTATTTTCATTTATATGCATTCTCTCACACTCAATCTCACTTGAATTTTTCTTTCAAATAATAATACTACTAGCTACCATTCATTTTGTGTTGGGTTAATTTTCACAATATTTAAAAACATATTATTATCATCCCCATCATACTGAAAAGGAAATTGAGTTTTGGGGAGATGAAGAAACTTGTATAAGGTCACATGAAGTATACATATGGAGCCAAGGTTTTAATTCCATTCTGTTCTACAATAGAAATAACTTAGGCTCTTAACTCTCATTCTAGAATTGTTGTTAGCTGTCAATCATTCAGTCCCAGATTCATAGTGAACCTGTGTACAATGGAATGAAACACTGCCCAGTCCTTCACCATTGCCAAGAATGGTTGCAGATCAGACTTTTGTGATACATAGGGTTTTCACTAGCTAATTTTCCAAACTAGAACACCAGATCTTTCTTCCTAGCCTGGAAGTTCTGTTGAAACCTGTCCAGCATCATAGCACCATGTAAGCTTCTACTAACAGATAGGCAGTGGCTGCACATGAGGTGCATTGGCTGAGAATGCACCTGGCTCTCTTGTTTGGAAGGAAAGAATTTTACCACTGAACCACCAATGTCCCCAACCCCATGCTATGAGGACTTTAGTCTTCCAATTACTCTATTACAGTTCTCAGTAAACATGAAATGCATTCATTGTTTCCTTCCTCTGACTCTATGCTACCTTGTGTTGTGACCCCTGATCTTCCCAGGATGATTTTGACACAGGAACAACCCCATATTGATAGGAATCCACTCTTCCATTGAGATAAAATATACTATGTGCTGAAATTTAGGGCTTGAGGATATACCCCAATTTTCAGAAACCACATAAGCTAAGTGACTGGAACTGAATTTATTAGTAGCTGGAATACTTTTGTGTCTATGCTGAAACTTACATAAAAGTAAAAAATTTTAAGTTTTGTTTAGGCCTGGAAAGTAAGTATAGGACTCTATCATGACCAGAGCTTTCTGCTGTGTTTTTATTCTAGTGGCATGGATTCTGACTGTAAGTATCAGAGACAATGCAAAAAAAGAGGAATATAAATCTTACCTTATATTTTTGCATAATTTCTTTTGTGAAGCCATACCTAAAAAAAAAGGAGGGAATTTAAACTATTTAATTAAATGTATTAATAACCCCAACTTATATGAATCATGCTAGTGGTTACGAATCGGGCTGTGAACCTTAAGGCCGGCAGTTCGAAACTACCAGCTGCTCCGCGGGAGAAAGATGAGGCGTTCTGCTCCCGTAAAGATTTACAGCCTCGGAAACCCTGTACAGGGTCGCTATGGGTCGGAACTGACTCGATGGCACTTAACAACAACAACAAAATATGAATCATGCAATAAGGGGAATCTTTAGCATCTCACTATTGCAACTATCAAGAACTCAAGAAACTAGACTTTAGTTGGAAAAAAATTATACATATCCAAGTCTTTCTAGGTATGATGGGAAAGAATGAAATTAATTAATGACATCATCCGGCTCTCAAGGATCTTACAATATAGTTAGGGAAAGAAGATAAATATTCATGAAACAATTACAAGACAACTCAAGAAATAGGTGATTGGTACTGGTTGTATAAATGCTGCAAATATTCACAGAAGTGTACTGTAGCAGCTAGGAGAAGCTGTGTGGGTGAATGCTTTTCACTTAGATAAAATTTCTCAGATCTCCTGTATTTTACAGTGAATGAATGATTTTTTTTTTTTTTTAAAGACTAAAAAAGGAAAGCATTGAAGATAACAAGTTGGCTCTTTACGCTCTCTCTGATATAGTTCTCATGTAATGGCATTTAGAGTTTTAAATAGAAAGTGTCAAGGATTTTCGATGCCCGAGTAGCAGTAGCTAAGGGAGTTATAAATATGGGAATGTTTTTCAATTATTTTTGTTGTTGTTGTTTTCTTAGAATAATAGCATGTACCCTTAATACGCAATGCAGTAAAGTTGGGGCACAGAACTTGCTCCATGTCATGTGAAGCGTCTGCAGTGTAACATTATATTTTTGGAGATAAATTCAGTCCTGCCATCACCAAAGGTATCCATATTGTTAAATCACCATTTTCTTGCTGTCTCTGAAACACTAAATACAGCTGACTACACTATCCATTCTATAATCTTTTCTTCTCTTGGATTCTATGACAACAAACTCTTGGTTTTCTTCCTTCCTTTCTGGCTAAATTGAATCTCCTTTGCAAGTCTCCTCTTCTACCCAGTCTTAAATCTTGGCATTCCTTTAGGTTGTATCCTAGGCCCTCTTTTCCCTTCAGTCTCTCCCCTGGCAATGTCATCCCTGCCCAAGACTAGGTTGTTATCTGTGTGGCAATATCACAGGACAATGCTCCAGGTCACATTTCATTTCTGAGCTCTGGACACATATACTTAACTGCCTACTCAGCAGCACCTCAAATCAGTTTACCTCAAACTAAACTCACCATTCTCCCTCACCACAAGCTGCTCCTCTTTCCAGCTCCCATATCAGTAAATGATGATGCTGTACTCTCAAACTCAAGCCAGAAACCTGGAGGTCATCCTTGATTCCTTCCTCTTCCAAATCTCCCATTTCATGTTGTTATTGTCAGGTGGAGTCAACTCAGACTCATAGCAAAAGAATGAAACATTGCCTGGTCCTGTACCATCTTCACAAAATTGTTATATTTGAACTCATTGTTGCAGCCACGGTGGCAATTTATATTGTGTTACCAAGTTCTAAATCACCATTGCAAATATTCCTCTTGAATATATCTACTGTGTTGCATCGCCATCACTACTTGTTGTTGTTGTTGTTAGGTGTCATTGAGTTGGTGCCAACTCATAGCACAGCAGACGCTAGTTTAATTAAGAATCCAACATCTATCTCTTCAACTACTTCCTAACTGACCTCCTATATCCATCCTATTTTTTCTCAGTTGTTGTTGACTCATGGCCACCCCATATGTTTCAGAGTAGAACTGTGCTCCATAAGATTGGTTTTCAATGGCTGTTATTTTAGAAGAAGACTTCCAGCTCTTTCTTTCAAGGTACTTCTGGGTGGACTCAAACTATCAACCTTTCAGTTAACATTCAAGCATGTTAACTGTTTACAAAACCCAGGGGCACTTATATCCCTTTCCAATTCACTCTTCTTTCTGTATTTTAAAATATAAATTTGATAATACTCTTCAGTGATAATAACTGACCTAAGAAGAAAGTCTACATCTCTTTGCATAATAAAATTACTCCTTACTGCTCCAGTCCTATAAGGTAGAACAAACTAGTTTTCTGTTTGTTTCACAAAATAAGCAGAAAAAAAAATGAAAGGAAGGAAACAAAGGAAAAGGGAACATTTGTCACCCACTATGCCTTTCAGCAAAACTTCTTAAACCATTTAACTAATCTTTATTCTTCAAATCTCTAGTGAGACAGACAGTTGAAATGCTATGTTACAGCTGTTCTCAAATATGTTTATGAACAACTATGCCAGAAACAATTGCCATGTCATAAAAAAATATATACACATCAGTATCTGTTTCTGAGACAAAATCTGAGGCAAGCCAAAAGAGTGATCAGAATGATCCATTTTAAGCCTGTCATAGAACCCACCATACCTCCAAACCTGGCCTAACACAATTGCCTAATACAATTTGGCTATTGAAAAGTGGGTATGGGAGGGAGAGAAAGAATATAATAGAAGGGAGAAAGAGGTAAATAATAGAGTTGGAATAAGAGTCAGGAAATGGGCTTCAGTAGAAGATTGGGGTTGTTGTTGCTGTCGAGTCAGTTCTAACCCATAGTGACCCTGTATAGGGTTTCTGTGGAGGGGCTTGTGAATTTGAACCACCAACCTTGCAGTTCAAATTGACTTTGCAGTCCAGCACATTAACCCACAGCGCCACACTGGGATTCCAGGGTCATAGGTAGGGGTGAAAATGAAGGTCTTCCTTCAGATCTTTCTATCCCTATGACTCTACCCTTACCACCAACTCTCAGCTAGGAAACAAGAGGAAATCTAAAGGTGTAAGTTACCTCATATTCATCAGTATATCTTCATGGTTCCCTCTATTCAAGCGCAGGTCCTTAGGATAGACAAGCAAAGACACTAACAGGATCATTAGAATCTCTATGGAATTTTTTCCTCGATCTACAAAATCACCATTAAAGACATATGGAATATCATCTGAAGGGAGACCATTCTGTGGAAGGAGAAGAGAGAAAAAAAAACAAGCAGTTAAAAGAATATACTTTTAGAATAAAGCTTTGTACTTATTGTCTCTGAGAATATGGAGAAAAGATGCTGAGTTAGTATTTCCATTGGGAAAAAAATGCTGCTCACTCCCTTGAGCCAGCTTCATTCTGAAAGGGACCTTGGACGTGAAGAACTTGCTTGGGAAGATTCCAGTGGGGCTGGGGCTTGTTTCCACCTACTGTGTGTTTTCTCTGACAGGAGCTGATATTTGTCCTATCAAAAATAGCATCTTTCATCTCTTCCTTCTCCACTAAAGAAAAGAGGGAACCTTCTATCCAAGGAAGAACACAGAATTTAAGAGCCAAGTCTTTCTAAAGGGACCCTACATTAAATTTTTCTGGGCTATGATTCCCTTAACTCGCATGAGATCAAATGAGAGATCAAATGAGAGAATGGGCATAAAAGTATCCAAGAAAATAAAGGTGCTCTGTAATTGAACAGGGCTGATGGACCACCAGTAGGCACTAATAAAATCACACAAGGTATTTATAGCTGGCATGCATTCTCATTGATCACTGACTGTGCCATATCAGAAATTAAAGAGTTTGAGTATCACTGCTGAATATGAATAATTATTTTAAACACAGTATGGCCATTAGTTTTTATAATAGCTATTAATTCATTTACTTCTATACTACAAAATGCTCAGACAAATAAGCACATATAAGGGAGCTTCAGAAAGGTCTTGGGGAAATGTAATTATAGGATAACGGAATTTTTCCACTCACTTTTTGAAGTCCCTTCATTTACATTTTCTTTATATTATGCCTGATGGAGAAATGGCCTGCTGCATTTCTACTGATTGGTAAAATAAATACAATCCTTAAAAACATATTACATAGAGAATAATTTAAATACTCATATATCCAAATGTATATCCTCCTTTAAAAAAATTACTAGTTTCTGGAAATAATACACATATTCTAGTTATATTAACCTTTTTCAACCTACTTTTGAATTTTTCTAGCTATGTAAGATAAATCTTACTATTTTATATTCAATATTCTATACTTATATAGCTTTTTAATTTTCCATAATAGAAATAGTTGAAAAATAGGATAATGCCCTGGACCAAACGGTTGGTTTGAACTGCAAGGTTGGCAGTTCAAATACACCAGCCACTCTTCAGAAACTCTCTACAGGATCATTGTGAGTAGGAACCAACTAGAAGGCACTTAACACCAACAAACATGTAATTTAGGGATTCCAGAAATTATTATACAATGTATTTTGAAGTCAATTGGACAAGAACCAAGTGTCTTGGGCCAGAAGTAAGAAGACCTATTCTTTAGTCTAGTTCCACTTATTATTTTCCTCATCTGTAAAATGGGGCATTTTCACATTTTTATCATGCATGGTTATTTTGGAACTCAAATGAGACTATTTTTATGAGATTGTATAAAAATTATAAAGCAGCATATAAATTAATAGATTCATTTTATTATGACCTCCATGTTATTTTTAAGTTTAAGATTCTATTATTTTCTGTATTATTATATACTAATTCACATACCTTATTTACATTGGGCTTACATAGTATAAACCAGCTATAAAAATATAGGCTATTTATCATCTAAATGATTGGACAAAGGGGAATGATTATGCATCTCTGATACTCTTCTTTCCCCCAGCTTCAAGTGGCTGGGACGAGTAAACTGGAAGTGTCTGAGTGGTGCTGGAGTTTACAGACTTTCTTGGGATGTTCAGGTCTGAAAGGAGCTAGCGGAGCAGCAGCAGAGCACCCTAGGCTGAGAATATGGAAGATGTAGGCCTGAGATACCAGTGGCCTCCTTGATAAGGGAACTCTGTCTCAGGCATGTATCATTCTGGTTGGGGTGGGGCCTGGATCTTACTGGAAGAACTATAGGAAAACTCCTCCTAAAAGAAGCAAAACAAAACAAAAAAACCCCCACCAATACTTGCATTTTGGGGTACCTATTATCATAGCGGAGTCCTGGTAGGGTGCTCTGGGATAATGCACTAGATTGCAAAATCAATTTGATCCACAAAGTTGGCGGTTCAAGCTCACCAGCCACTCCCTGGAAACCCGCTACAGGGTCGCTATGAGTCAGAACCGACTCGACATCATTTAACAACAACAATTATAGGAGTATAGCAGTGGGGCTGTAGGATAACCATAAGATCAGGTTGAACTGCAAGGTCAACAGTTCAAACCCACCAGTTACTCCTCATAAATCCTATATAGGATTGCTATGAGTCAGAATCAACTCAACAGCACTTAACAACAGCAGCAGCAGCAGCAGTTTAGAGGAGTTCCTGGGTGATGCAACTGGTTAATACACTCAATTGCTAAACCTAAAGGTTGGTGTTTGAGTCAATCCAGAAGTACATCAGAAGAAAGGCCTGGCAATCTACTTCTGAAAAAGCAGCCACTGAAAACCATATGGAGCACTTATACACATGGACTTGCTGAGTTAGAGTTGGCTTGATGGCAACTAGTTTTAGGATCATAGATACTTCCTCTCACATTTATAGTGTAGGAATTGAAACCGTTGTAACTCCAACTACTTTATTTTTAAAATAATAAAAGGAACATAAATTTAAAAAACAAAAAGCTAATAATTCTTGGCATTAAAAATATATTATTCAAATTTTAAATATCAATAGATTGTTGTTATCATTGTTGTTAAGTGCTGTCTAGTCAGTTCCAACTCATAGCGACCCTGTATAAGGTTTCCAAGGAGTGGCTGTTGAGTTTGAACCACTGACCTTGTAGCTCAAACTAACCTTGTGGTCCAGTACTTTATCTCACAGTTCCAAATGCCATTAAATCAATTCTAACTCATGGTGACCCCATGTGTGCCAGAATAGAATTTTTTTTTTTTTTTAATGACTAAGTTTTTGGAAGTAGCTTGCCAGGCTTTTCTTTTGAGGTAGCTCTGGCAGACTTAAACCACTAACTTTGAGGTTAGCAGTTGGGCACTTAACTATTGCCACCCAAAGGCACCAATAGATTAGAACTAACTAAAGGAAGAATGGAGTCTTGGTGTGGTGCTGTGGGTTAATGCGCTGGACTGCAAAATTGGTTTGAACTTCAAGGTCAGCGGTTCATGCTCACCAGCCACTCCTTGGAAACCCTATACAGGGTTACTATGGGTAGGAATTGACTCAACAGCATTTAACAACAACAAAGGAAGGATGTTATTGATCTGGAAGAGCAAGCAGATAAAAATAAATAAATAAAACCCTCACAGTTCAAGTAGAAGGATAGAAACCATGAGGCAAAAATAAACAACTAGAGCTCAGAGATAAGAGACCTAATATGCCAATAATAAACATTGCAGAATCAAGGAGAAGATGATGATGGAGAAGAGGCAACGATTACATAAATAAGAGAGAATTTTCCATGATTAAAAGAGATGTCAGCCTGAAGTTTTAAGAGCTCATGATAACAATGCCCAGTGATGGGGGAAGAATTTACCTGGTAAGATTTTTACAAGCAGTCAAAAAACAACAATTTACAAAAGGAAAAGAATCAACCTAGTACCAGATTTCTCACCTGCAAAAGTGGAAAGTAGAAGATGTTGAAAGAAAATCTAAAAATCTAAGAAAAAAAGGGCTATGAATCAAGAATTTTGTACTGTCCCAGACATTATTAACTTCTCAGGGTGACAGACAACTGTTTGCAGATGTGTACATGAATGTGAATGGGTTAAATTCTACTATTAAACCACCAATATTATCAGACTGTTAAAATATAAAATACCAATATTATCAAACTGCATTAAAACCCAAACTGGGTTTGTAATAAATATACATGAAATAGATAGAGGAGGTTGAAACTAAGGTAAATGCTACAAAGTGAAAGCAAAAATGGAAATGTCAGATACTTAGTTAGACCCAGTAGAATTACGACTAAATGTGCTAGGCAGATCATAAAGCAATATCATGCCATAATAAAAGGTAATTTATGAACTTACATGCAATAAACAAAAAAAACCCCAAGGTTTTAAAACACAATGAGTTATTCAGATTGTGTTGGCTTAAAATAATGTTCACAAATTCTTTGACACTCTTTTAAAAAGGTGGAAAGTAATTTGCCTCCTATTGAGCATGGCCTGGACTTAGTGACTTCCTGCCAATGAAGAAAAAAAAAAGTGTAAGTGGCTGGGTACAATTTGGGAGATTCAAAGGCGCTGCAGCTTCCTGCTTATTCCCACTTTTACTCAGTCAGCTTTCAGCTCGGGCATCCCTGTGGCGAGGCCTCTGCCAATACCCAGCAAGGAACTGAGGTGCTGCTGTCTTTAGAACCCCGTGAGTTAGTCATCTTGGAAAGAGACCTCCCAGGGCCAAACCTTATGAGAGACCCTGAGCCAGACCCACCCATCTAAACCGCACCCTAATTTCTAACCCAGCCCAAAATCCTGTTGTCATCAAATTGATTCTAACTCATAGTGACCCTAAAGGACAGAGAACTGTCCAATAACGTTTCCAAGGCTGTCATCCCTACCAAAGTAGATTGCCACATCTTTCTCCATTGGAGACTTTTCAATAAGCAATTGTGTACTTTACCACTTCACCACTAGATTTCCTTTTTTCTGACTCACAGAAACTACTAAATGTTTGTAATTTGTTAGGGAACACTAAGAGTTAGGATAATTTGTTACACAGCAAAATAAAACTAACATACATATGAATGTTTGGTGGTGGTGGAATGTTTAGCTAGATGTAATAAACAACAAATATATAGAAACACTGAATATACAACTAATAAATTCATTTAATCAATATCTATGAAGAACTTTGCATATTGAAAATAGAGAATACAATTAAGTTTTCATATGTTCATGGAGTTTTTATGGGAATCAATTGGATAAAAATGGAAATTAAAAACAAAATTGAAAATTCAGTAGAAGGCTCAACTAAAACTAAAATTAGGAAAGATGGATAGCCTTTTTAAAATATTTTAATTATTAAAGAAGATGC